AACGACCATCTCCGAATGCAACAGCTATGTGTACCTAGGTCGAGAGGTCAACATGACCAATGACCTGGCACCCGAGCTGCGCAGGAGGAAGAGAGCGGCTTGGAACGCCTTCAAGAACGTCGAAGAAATAGCTAAGAGGACGAAGAACCTCTGGCTCTGGGCACATCTCTTTGATTCCACTGTTCTTCCTGCATTAACATATGCCTCAGAGACCTGGGCCCTACGCAAACAAGATGAGAACGCTACTCAGGTCTTCCAAAGAAGAATAGAGCTATGCTTGGAATATCACGTTTCACTCAAATGAGAGAAAAAATCCGGAGTTCCGACATCCGTCGATGATCAAGAATCAGGGATGCTGTCTCATTTGCCAAGGTGTCAAAAATCAGATGGGCTGGTCACGTAATGAGATTTAAAGACGACCGCTGGACTAGAGCTGTTACCGACTGGATTCCACGGGATGTCAAAAGACCGCGTGGCCGCCCACCTACCAGATGGTCAGACTTCTTCGTGAAGATCATGAATGATTGGTTTGAGGCTCTTCATGTTCCCAGAGCGAACAGATGCCATTGGGCTACACTAGCAGGTGACAGGGACAAATGGAGACGTTACTGGCGCCCGCTCGAGCAAATCGGTGACTAACGGGAAGTTAAGTGATTAAGTAAGTGGGTATGGAGTGTCTTATGATGTCCAGGAATATGTGAGGCTTGGCCTGAGCACATTCCCCAAAGCTTTTAATGTCCTCCAGTACCTTCTTATTCCCAAATGTCTAAGCCAGTGATTAGATTCTCAGTAGCAATATGGCTCTTGTGGCAATTTCCCTTTTGTTCTGAAACTATATAAGACTTGGATTATGTCAGAACAGAAAGGATTTTTGGAAATTAGCTAGACACCAACTTCTCCCATTTCACAAATGAGCAGAGTCCAGGAAGGTTAATTTACTTCTCCAAAGTCACAGAGAAGCAAAGCTAATATCAAAACCTAAGTTTTCATTTGGTAAAACAGTTTCAGTATGCTGATTTCCCCCCTTAAGTTTCCAAGGTGCTACCATTACTCTGGGAAATGTTTTCCAATTTCTTTCACTATGCAAGTAAACGGGTCCCTTCCACAATACACTTTTAGGGAGAGTTTGTCTAAGCTGTGGAAAAAGAACTCCTAATTATGCTTGCCTGTTCATATACCAGTTTTATTTACACTGTTTACCATAGTTTATTTGTGAGTGGATTGGTGGCCACACCCAGCAGTGATCAGGGGCTCCTCCTGGCTCTCTGATCAGGAGTGACCCCTGGTGTTCTCAGGGGAACCAAACACAGTTCCAGGGATTTGAACCGGGGTCAGCAAGGAAAGTATTTAAATCCTTATCTCTTCAACCCTATCATAATTCTTTTGAAGCAAAGATCGGAGCTTTTCATGAGTTATCACATACAAATTAATAACAAGTGATTAAGTCAGCCACCTAGCAAGAAAATTCACGTGTTAAGAATATATTTTAACCCTTGAGCTGAGTAAAAAATATCTCAGACTGAGAACTCCAGGAGGTAGAAAATTCCTTTGGAAAATAGGCAATTAGCTGCTAAAAAATGCCATTTTTCAGAGGAGTGTTTCTTTCTCTTTTCCTGAGGAACAGATGTATGAAGAATTCAGGATTTCCCCCTATTTTAGGAAGACAATACAGCACATATATTAAATTTTGAGTGACTTTCAGTGGAGTCTAGAACAATATTCCATATTCAGGTACATTTATAATTTGCTGCAAAATATATTCCTTTGAAGTGGCATCAACAAGACTTTATATAGACTCAAGTTGGTTCACTTCAGTTCTCATCACTGATAGAATTATCTTCATTTTTCAGGGTATCAGATAATTGGATAATGGAGTATAAGGCTATAAATGATTTTCTTTCACATGCATTTAAAAATAAGGTTCTCTTGACACACATTCAATCCTTTGTTAGAAATTACTCATTCTTGTTATCTTAATCCCCAAGATTCATTAACTATGTTTTGCTCTACTCTTGCTCTAGTTCAAATTTTGCACTGGATAAAGCCTCAAGGATGGTTGGAGAATTAAGTTCTCTCTCTCTCTCTCTCTCGCTCTCTCTCTTTTGGTTTTAGGGCCACCCCTGACACATATAGGGATTACTCATGGCTCTGCAGTCAGGAATTACTCCCTCCTAGCTTGGGGGGCCAAATGGCATGCCAGAGATCATACATGGGTCAGTCACACGCAAGGTGGGCATATTATCCAATGTACTATCTCTCTAGCCCTACACAGATGTTCTCTTTATATCATTAGTAGAGTTGGCAATGACTTGTTTCCCACCAGTCTTCTTATCCACTAGCATACTGCAATAAATCTTTGTATATTAATTTTTACGCCCACTAAGGTTCTCATATCTAAAAAATTATATTAAGAATAAGGATTGCATATAAAGAGAAGAGCTCACATTTAACTTTATCCTTCTAGAGGTCCCGATCAGTCTATTTGCTCTGTAGATGCCAAGGAAAACATTACTTTATCTTCTTAAATCCTCAGAGTCTCATAGAGCCTAGTCTTCCAAAAATCAAAACTTGAAAGATTATCCAGGTATTCTCCAATGTCAAGGGAGAACAGGGTAAAAAAAAATCAATACCTACAACTAGAAAACTAGTTAAGGAACAAACAGAATCTCTCTGATATAGGAAAGAGTATAGTCATGTAAGTATTACAGGCATGAGAATTGTAGAAAGCTACAAAATAGAAGAAACCACCAAAGGTGCCAACAAGGTAGAAAACTAAAACTAAAATAAAGGGAAGACAGAAGCAGGGATGCTATGGTTTCAATAATTGAAACTTGTTGCCTGGGATACTAGTATAGCTATTTCAGAAAATTTCACATGCAGTACTACCAAAATACCAAAGGCCATACATAACGTCTGACCCAAAATGCCACCTCATACAGCAAATCAAATTCTCACATGGGAGCCTAAAAAAGATTGTTTGACTGGTACACTGCCCTGCAGAGTCAGGAGACTGCTTTGTCTGACATACTGAATTTTCAATGTCTCTCACACTTCCTCCTTTTCAGATGCACAAAAGGTTTTTGTAACGTTTCTCTTGGTTTTATTGCTGGCAGCTACAGAAACCATGCCACATGCCTGATGTAGAGTTATAGGGTGTGATTTAATTTGACTAGTGTCTTCAGAGCTTCTGGGTTTTAAAACACAACCTTGAGAGTTTCCTTGAGAGCAGTTAAATGAAAACATGTTTTCATTCATTCCCTCTGGACCAGTTTTGTAGGCGCTTAGCCTGTTGCCTGTGACTGCTGCACCTTTCCTGTAAAGACCTGTGAAAAAGTTCCTTCTTCTGCTTCTCCTACACAGTCCCCTGGGTCCCTCCACTTCTGACAGGCATTTCATTTCTGTATATTGTTCCCTTCCCAGGATGGGTCTTGGCCTCCTAACCTAACATGGACAACACCTAACCAGAAAGACCCATACAAGCTTAGCAAACACGTTGGACATTGCCTGGTCTGAAAGTACTTTGATTCCGAGGGGGCAAAACCTAATTTGTGGGTCACACCATCCATCCAGTGCTCTGGGGTTTACTCCTGGCTCTGTGCTCAGGGATCACTCCTGGCAGAGTTCAGGGGATCATATGTGATGGTGGGGATGGGACCAGGGTTGCTGGTGCAAGGCAAGTACCTTACCCGCTATAGGCCCAAGCAGTTTCTCTTCAACATAACCAACTCTTAAAATTTTTCATTGCAGTAACATTGGCCTATAGTATACACGTTTCAGGGTACACCTGAAATTATAATTCCACCACTAAAAGTCTAGCTTCCCACCAATACTCAATAGACCTCGGTCCCCCAACCTTTATTTTTCTCCCAGTTTTGGGGTCACACCCGGCGACGATTAGAGGCTCTACACTCAGGAGTGATGCTCAAGGGACCACATGGGATGCCTAGCATAGAACCCACGTCTGTGTTGTGCAAGCTAGCGCCTTACCCCCTGTACTATCTCCCCGGCCCCCTTCCTCGGTTTTAAATCCCCACCCCTCCCCCTTCGCCCCCTGCCCTTCTGGTACCCGAATATCTGTTCTTCGGATGGAAGTTTGTACGTAACAACCCTCTCCTTATGCCATAGGTACTGAGGACTGGGTTCCTCTCGGTAGAGTATGGGGCACTCACTACCGGGTCATTTGTCACCGAAAAGCCCGCAGCGGAGGGTGGGTGCTGCCACTGGGGAGCAGAGGTCATTTGTCCCGGGGGTGCGTGCCGGGGTAGGGGCGCACCTTCCTGTAGGGGGCGAACTCCGCCTACTTTCTCCCTCGCCTGAACTCTAACCTTTTGCCCCGAAAAAGAAAAAATAAATAAATAAAAGGTTCCAAGCCCGGGTGCAAGGGATGGACCGGGGCGTCCAAGCAGCCCCCGGGTGGGCGCGGGGACCGGGGCAGTGCCCAGGAAAAGCCCGCTTCGGCCGGGTCCATCACCTGCGCGGCAGGGCGCGCCCGCAGCAGCCCGGGTGCTCGGCGCCGGGGGCCCGAACGCCGAGACAATGCGGCGCGCGCGGCGGTGGGCGAGCGGCTCGGCGGGCCGGGGCGCGCGCCGCCTTCCTTCCTGCTGGCTCAGCTTCCCGGCGGCGGCGGCGGCGGCAGGCGGCGGCGAGCGCGCGGATTGGCGGCCCGGCCCTCCGCGCCGCCCCGCCCCGCGCCCGGCCGGCCGCCGCCCCCGGCCGGGACCCGCCCCTCTCTCCGCAGGAGGCGCTCGGGGCCCGGGGCTGGGTGGCGGGCAGTTCCCGCCGGCGCTGCGCGTCCGTCCGCTGCTGCTGCTGCTGCAGCTGCGAGGCTCTCGGGCAGGCGGTGGCGGAGCCCTCGGCGCGGCGGGCGGACGGGCCCGAGCTGCGCGGCGCGGCCGCTGCTCCCGCCGCCGGGCCCCGCGGGGGGCTGTGCTCCCGCGCCCTGCGGCGGCTCCTGCGGCGGCTCGTGCGGCCCCGGGCGGCGGCGGCGGCGCTTCCCTTTGTCCGCGGGGCCGAGCGGGCTGCGGGGCGCGGCGGCGGCGGCGGCGTCCGAGCTGCGGGTGGGAGCCCGCGCGGCAGCAGAGGCGGCGGCTCTCTCCCGCGCCCGGCCGCCGGCGCCCGCGCTCCGAGGCGATGCCGGACCAGATCTCCGTGTCGGAATTCGTGGCCGAGACCCATGAGGACTACAAGGCGCCCACGGCCTCGAGCTTCACCACCCGCACGGCGCAGTGCCGGAACACCGTGGCGGCCATCGAGGAGGTGAGCGCGCCGCGCGCGCCGGGCGGCTCCGGCCGCAGGTACCGCCGCGCCCCGCCGCGCCGCATCCCCACCCGCCCGGCCGCCCGGGCCAGCCGGGCCCCGCGCCCCGCTCCCGCCACCCGGGAAAAGTTTCTGGTCCTCCGACCCCCGACGCGGCGGGGATCACCCCAGCCCGGCACAGAAGCCCTTTGTTCCGTGGAGGTGGTGGCTCGGAGGGGACGGCTTGGGCCTTTTGAGCCCCCTCCCCACGGCCCCCCACATCGTTCCTTCTCCGCGCCTCCAACTTTGCCCCGAAAGTCGGGGTGGGCGGGGAGCAGGGGGACCCCCTGCGCCCAGCGGTTTCCCCCGGGCGTCCAACGTGCGTTCCGAGTGGCCGTGCCCGCCGCCGGCAGTGCGCACCGCGAGCCCCGCCGCTGCCCGCCGGGGCTTCGTCCGACTCTCGGTGGGTCCCGGGGCAGCCCCCGGCGATCGCGGAGAGGTGTGCACCCCACCCCTTAGCCGGGAAGGCCTGAGCAGGCCCTCCCCGATTGCCCGCCAAGGTGTGCGGGGCGCTGCGGCGTCTGCGGAGCCCGAGGCCTTTTTGCCCGCCACCCCCAGGTCGGTGCGGCTCACCCGTCCCAGCCTTTTTTTTTTATCACACCCCCCCGCGCCCCACCTCTGCCCCATCGGCTGGAAAAGGGGCGGTTGTAGCCAAGTGCTTTCAAGGTGCAAAGTCATCCCTCCCAGCTCTGGCTAAGGAGGGAGCTAGCTCGCAACCGCTCCTTTCGCGGACAGACTCCCCCCCGCCAGACCCGGGAAGGAAGGGGCCGCTCGAGGTGGGCCCTCAGCGGCTGCTGGCAGCGTCGGGAGGGGCCGGGCCGGCCGGTGCAGAGCCGGGTAGTGGGCAGAGCCGCCTCCTCCCCGCCGCTCCTTCTCTCCGCATCCGGATCAAGGGTGCAGCCTTCCCTTGCAGCGTTGCTCCGAGGGGCCGAGACCCCGAGCGTCAAGTGCTAATAAACACTCTGCAGGGCTTGAAGTAGGGAACCTGGTGTATGAGCCACACGTGGGCCAGTGTTGATTTCCAAGGTGAGCTTGCTCTTGGCCAGAATGGCGAGTTACAAGCTCATCCGTGGGGGATAGTCTAGTTGTTTCTAGGGACGATGCCTGCGTATAGAGTGAATGCGGGGAGAGAGCCTCAGTGAGCTTAAAATTAAGGGTTGGCTTTCCTGTTCTTCTTCTTCCTTGAACAAAGCATCTGCTGTGAGGAATGGCTTGGGGGCTGGCGGGGTGGGGGTATGTTGGGAGGGTGGGAATCCTGAGTGCTTTCCCTTATGGAATTTTCTAGAGAAAAAAAATTCTTGGTAGACTAGCAGTAAGTGATAGGTCAAATCAAAAGCAACAGATTCAGCATTCTGAATGTTTCAAGTTTAGTTCATCCTCTGCCTGCCTTCTCCCTGTTTCTGGTGGAAGAAAGCTTTAGTAATGAGTTCTGTGAATCCTGACTACTACTTGTTTCAGCACGACTATAAAATGGTACCTGCAAATGAGGCAGGTGAAGATGGGTTTAAGATGGTTTTTAAATTTTTCTTCAGATGCATTAGAAGTTTTTGGAAAACAGCATTATTTAATCATGTTTATGGACTGAATGCAACAACAACATAAAAAGTAGCTGCTCAGTGATTAGAGGAAGGAAGCATTATGTATACCTAGCCTCTAAAAAAATTGGTTAGTTAACAGGTATGGCGTACTACCTGCACACAGCAAACCCGGAGTTTGATCCCCTGAGCTCACGAGGAGTGCAGAGCCAGGAGTAAGCCCTGAGCACAGCTGGGTGTGGCCCCAAAGCCAAAAAAGAAAAAGGTGAATTACAAAAGCTGGGTTACATTTAAAGTTCTTCATCTTTTCCCCCACTGCAATTTGTCATTTAAATGTTAATAACACTGGCAGATGTTGGAAAGCTAAGCAAGTGGGAATTACTGGTACAACTGGCATACCCTTTCCTTGATTAATTTTAGTTTACAGTGTATAATTCCAAAGCTCTTTCTGCATGTTGTGCAGATTACCCCAGAGCTCAGTTACTGAGAAGATTAAGAAGAGACTGGATTTGGTCGTTTTATTAAACTGCAAGCTTGCGGCACATTGTCATCAGAACATAAAAATTGGTCTCAGAAATGAAAAAAAAATCATTACATATATGCCTATCTCACCTTAGGCGAATTCTGTGTACATATTATGATGATGATGGAACACATGGTCTTAGCTTTGTGACTCACATCAAAAGTTTATTTCCTTTCTCAGAGTGATCACTATGGATTCCTTTATATAATGCTCTTTTCTAGAGTGGCTTAATGTTCATTCCACTTACCAAAACTTATTTCATTTATGGTATTTTTCAGTAAGTAAGGTAAAGGCCCTCCCGTTGATCGTCGATTTGCTCGAGCGGGCCCAGTAACGTCTCCATTGGAGACTTTGTTGTTACTGTGTCTGGCATATCGAATACTCTCGGTAGCTTGCCGGGCTCTCTGAGAGGGGCGGAGGAATCGAACTCGGGTCGGCCATGTTGGCTGCTTGTAAGGCGAACGCCCTACCCGCTGTGCTATCGCTCCAGCCCTTTTCAGTAAGTAATGCCCACATATTTTGGTTTTAACCAAGCATCTGCTTATTAAAGCAAGGCCTAAGAATGGTTATTGAGATTACTTGTTTAACAGAAAAGAATTAAAAAAATTATTTCCAATGCAGATTGCTGAAAATTACTGTAGGAGTGAAATTTGCTTTTTTTGGATATACACACCTACAATGGGCATATGAGTAGCTATTAGTCCCCTACTCTGTGTTACAGACATCACGTCTGTTGCACTTACTCCTCATCCCCACATTTTGTCCGAAGAAGTTAAAGCATAGGCAGAGGGAAGTTAATTTGCCATAGGTTGTAGAGCTGGAACTTGAACTTGGCTCCATGTTGTTTCCAGAAGCTATGCTGCTATGCTGGGTTGTTACTTTTAATGATGCCAAGTATCTAAATTGCTCCTTTGGTAGGTAGACCAGGGTCCCAGACCAGATTCACCACTTTCTGCTTGTGTGAACTTGGATGAGACGTCTATAGTTTTCTCATTTTTCTCAGCTGAGACATTTGAATAACAATACCTGTCACCTTCAGAGTTGATGAGACCATACTCAGCACAATATCTGACAAACAACTGACTTAGTAAATGCTGACAACTTAACAGATTTTAAAATCCACAGAGCCTGAGGAGACTATCTGGTCCTAGGAGAGGTTTTATGAGGGGGTGAGAGAAGTTGGGGAAATGGCTGAAGGGTTGAATGAATAAAAAAATTGCTACACTGTCATTAACCCATGTTTATCTTTTGACAGTTTTGTTGTCTTAGAACAGGTGAAAACATAGCTGTGCTTTGAGTTTTACATTTTTTCACTTGATCACTTCCTATGGGCTAAGTAATTATTTTACACAATTTCAGCAAAGCCTGGTGCTTCAGCTAGTCAGTCTTGTAAAGTGGCTTTGGTATAAATCCAAGGAGTAAGCCTATGCAACGACCCCCCCCCTCTCCCCCCCAATTTGGGATGGTGGCAATTTCTTTATTTTTGCGGAGGAGTTTGGAGTGGGGAGGGTTCCAAAGCAGTGCTCAGGGGGATTGTGGGGTCACTCCCAGTGGGTTGGGCTCAAGTTTCTTTGCTAGGGCCCAAGGATACCAGTTTCAGGGATTACTAGGGTCACTCCATTGGTGCGGGGCGGGTGTGGGGGGGGGGCTTGTCTCCAGGGCCTTACCCAGTGATGTTCAAGAAGCTTTATGGTGCCAGGAATTCAAAGGAGGTCTGTGGTGCCAGGAATTCAAGGGAGGTCAGGCCCATGTATCCTAACCCAATAGTATCTTCTTGGCCCTCTTCTTTTGTTTCTCTGTATCTCTGAGCACTTAAGAATATTGGCAATATAGGGAAACATTGTATCCATAGTTGAATTACTCTGTTTCTAGTTAGAGCCTTCTCTTTAGAGCATCCTCCATTCTGCCCTGCCTTGCTTATCCGTTTTTCTTAGTAGATCCGTAGTTTTAAAGATAAATTTGATGTTGACTCTAAGTATTAAAATTTAATCTACTTCCTTCTGAGGTCAGAATGCTTCACGCTGTGGTCCATGGTTACCTAGGAAATCTCATTGCTGTCATAAGCACAGGGTTCTAACTGCAGGGCTGGAAGGAGCTGCTGGACTGCTCGGACTACCAGGGGTCCTGCCTGCCTTGGGGCCAGGTGCCCCTCCCAGCGTTCATAATGGGAACCCAACCTAAGAACTCTGCAGGCAAGAATATAATTTTGAATTTCATTCTTTGTGAATTGTTTGAAAAACAGCTTCTCCAAATGCCAGATCAGTGAGGGTGGGGGGTGGGGGAGGGGTGGTCAGCAAAACCCACCTCAGCTCTGTGGCTGGAAGGACCTTACTTTTTTACCCAATGCATTCATGTTTTTCTGTGGATCAAGTAGGACCGCTCTTTTATGCTGTATTTTGACTTCTGAACTTATGTGCTTGGAATTTGTTTTTTTTTTTAATCGAATCACCATGAGCTGCAGTTACAAAACTTTCATGTTTGAGTTTCAGCCATACATCTATCCTTTCACCAGTGCACATTTTCCACCACCAATGCCCTCAGTATCCTCCCCCTATCTCTATAGCAGACAATTTCCCTCTTTCTCTACTTATGGGCATTATGGTTTGCAGTACAGATAATGAGAGGTCAGCATGTTTGGTCCTTTATCTACTTTCTCATGCTTGGAAATTTGAGTCATTTAAGGAGGAACCATGTTTCTCAAGTGATTACTCTCTTCCTTTCTACCCATACTTTTCACTTTACCTCCTCTCTTTTTTTTTTTTATATGACTTACATGAAAAGTTCTCATGCTATTTCTGCCCATTCAGTGTTGGATCCTTCTGTGTGTGGGGTGATGGGTGTAGTTCTTTGAAAGAATCTACAGCTTAGTGGATGGGAGAGATGTTCTATAAATAAGTCCATGC